TATTATCTTTATTGTGGTTAGTTAATTTTCCAAAAGTGTACATTTACTATATTAGAAGATGATTGATGGAGAGCAATTAATTAATTTTATATACAAGGACATTTTATATTTTCATGGATTGCCAAAGTATATTATTCAACTCTTGAACAATATCTTTAATGCTTAATTTTAATTTCCTTTTTTCTAAGTTCGCTTATATCAATTCTCAACACTTTTCAACACATTAGTTTTCATTCTTAGTCAAACTCTAACCTTCAAGTTTTTGTTAGTCATATTCATAACTTGGAGAGAAGTCTATTTTAAATATGACTTAGAGAGAAATCATATGAATATTACATTTAAATATTCTTATCATATTATGAATATCATAAAATGAATGAGTCATTTTATGATGGCTTCATGAATTATGATATATTATTAATATCATTATGAATTATATTATGAATATCATATTATAAATATTAGTCATATTCATTTCTTCTAGCCTTTGGTTTTACAAATTGCTCTATTGTTGTTCCTACAAATTGCTCTATCTCCAAGCTAATTAGAAACCTAGGTGTACGTCCATACTAATCCTGGAATGTACAATAGTTTTAAATTCAAATCTCATTAGTAGAAATATAAGGTTTGAATTCTGTCATAGATATTGACAGTAAAATACACTCTAGCATATACAAAGAAGTGACAAATATGTGACAACAATCTGAGAAGAATTAATCTTATATTGTCCCTCATCTTTGATTTTAGATGCAATTCAAGCTAGAAGGGACACTGTAAGTAGGCAATGACTTGGAGAGAAATTCATATTAAAACCTACAAATCCATCACAACCATTACCTAAATATATTTTAATAACTAAGGATATTACAAGCAAAGAAATAAAATCCTTGTTGAACTCATGCTCAATCTCAATTGTGAGAACTAAAAACCCTAACTAGAGAAGGAGAAAAGGGATATACCCTTCAATAGAATATTCTAAAGAATCTTACTCATACTAATCACTTAAAACATCTGTGAGGCTTGACAATTTCTCTTACATGATTTCTGTCTATAGTGATGTCATAGATACTTACAAATAAGAACATATTTCTCCTATATGATGGAACATAAAATAAATATATTTATAATAATTTAGCATTTATAATTACCAATTTTCAAAGTATTATAATCAAAACAAATTAACCTTCGAATAAAATTTTTAGAAGTCAAATGTGGAGGCTACTAAGTTGTAATATAAATAGTTA